GAGAGGCAGAAGTGTAAGACAAGTGTCAAGAGATGGAAGTGAAAGGGACCTCCATTCCGTGGTATTGCTTATTATAATGATGAAAAGAAACAAGAAAATGCTGAGGACGAGAAGAATTATCGTGAAGAGTCAATGAATCTTATAGAGTTCGGAAAATAGTGGCAATTTTTTTATTGGGCTTGGTGGGAAGATTATTGTAAAAATGCAATTGATGACATGAAAGAAGATTCGAGAATTGTGGAGGAATCAAAGATTGATTTCAGTTTTAAATGTGAACAGATAGGGGATTTAAAGTTTTTTCGACGGACAAGGATCAAAATAATCAGCTACAACCAAGCAATAACCAGTTAATGTTTTTAGTTGACAGTGGAAGTACCACAGATCTGATATCAATTTATATGAAAGCAAAAGTTAATGAAATTTCTTACCGGGTTTTGGCAGACAGATAGCTACGTAATTATAACCAGTATGCCATAAAGAGTCATGGCACACTGATATGCTGTGACAATTCCAACGGTTGGAATGTGAGAGATCATTTGCTGACAGTGTTGAATGACAACAAAAGATCAATTATGGGTCGTAATTTAATCACGGGACTTGGTTGAAGGTGTCGCAAAAATTGCCACCCGAGTTATCCTACATAAAGTTAGTACATTTGGCGAAGATGACAAGTTGCTGAAAATTCAATTTGCAAACGAATTTCTGAGGTTATTTATGAAAAAATAGACTACCGAAACACCTTGTTGTTAAATCGAGGTTTAACAAACATTTCACACTTACGCATCAAAAAGGACGGTATTTCCTACTTAATTTGCAAGAAAAAGTACTGGAAGAGATCAAAATATTAGACAAAATTGGGTACATACAAACATGGTAAAAAAAGTTTGGATCCTTAACTAAACCATCTATTGTTTTAAAAGTAAAAAATATTAATTTAAATAAATTGTTAACAGATTCGAAACAAATGAACACCGCAATTCACAAGAAAAAACATCAGATGCTTAATACTGAATTAAATTTTTGATTCAATTGGTCAACTTTCAGTTGAGGGGAATCGTCGCGATATTCCACTATTTACTACAATAGTTTCGAAGTATCAATATTGTCAACTGAATCTGCATCCTGAGACAAGACAACCTTGTAACTTTAACATTATTGGCGTGGCTACAACAGGTATATACTAATTTATGGCACGTTCTAATGGTTTGACTGATGAGCCAGCTATGTTTCAATTGTCTTCAGATACGAAATTATTGAATGTACCGAATATATTTTGTTTCTGGGATCTCTTATAATTTTGAAGAAAAGTCATGAAGATCATACTAGTTAGAAGGAAAGGTGTTTTAAACGATTGGATGATCAAAACATCTCGGTTAATTTACCGCAATTTCAACTGGCAAATGAAGAAACTGAATGGTTAGGGTTTGAAAGCGTCAAGGTCGGGCATATTTTTTTCTTGGAACGCGGCATCATGAGCCAACTTTTATACCCGGTTTAGCGCTTTTGTGTTCATCATTTAGAGATTTTTCAAAACTCGGAAAATTGGAAAAAATAATTTGGATTGAAAAATATTTTCAAAAACATGACAATTTTTCTCAATTAGTCAAAAAGAAAATTTTTGAAATCACCGAAAACGCTCATTTTACCAACAAATTTAAAACAAGAGTTAAGTGTGATTTGCCTAAAGAATGTTTAGGGGCGGCCCTCGAACAAAAAACGCAAGTCGGTACGTTGAAGAGTGTGGCACTCGCTTCACCTTTTCTTAAGTCGACTGAAATGAGGTGTAGTAGTAATGATCTCGAGTTATTAGCTGAGTACGGTCCCCGGGATGACCGAAACTTCTTATCATACAATTTCCATATATGAGAAACTTCTTGTCATACAATTCCATACGTACAGAAATATGTATGAAATCTCTATGATAATATTTTTCCATATATGAAAATTGTATGATAGGTATTTTTCCATAAACCAAAAATATTTCTAAAATTATTTTCTGAAAAAATTTCGGTTGTGTTCGCAAAAGCACCAATGGTTTGACGGTCTTTGCATTTACAATGCATAGAAAACGACCTGAAACGTTTTCGAGCTGTCTTTCACAAATTATATCACAAAAGTAACAAACTTTTAATTTTTGGCAAATTTTTTCAATGGTGGTTATTTTAAATTTTTGAATTTTCAAATTATCAGACATTGATCAAGGCATATAAACACCTAATAAAAGAGAAATAGGAATTTTCAGCGTTTTTGAAGAAAAAAAAATTAGGTCAAAAAAAATAAAAGCCAAAATTATCGTATCCAGGACTACGTTATGCACACAAAAAATTAAATTTTGCATGCAAAAATTTTTTTTCGAAAAATGTTTGTTTGCGTACGAAATTCGATTTGCGGTTGAAAAAAATCAAAAAATGTCAAGGAGGCGAGCAACAATGAGAATGAAGTTTTCACAATAACAGACCCTATGGGATGTAAGATTGTGAAAATCTCCAGTTGTAAAGGGCTAGCAGGCCTGACGAATCGAGTTGCAAAATAAGAGAGTTGCGAGACTGTATAATCAAAAAACAAAATGAAAGATGTCGAGAATTAGACCTGTAGGACAATCAATATCAGAACGACATGAGCGTGAAGCGGGCGATCGTGGTAGATAAGACGATTGACGCTCGGAAAAATTGCAATCCGCGATCGTGGACGTTTTTCACTCAGTTAAACCAGGCCAAGCACAAGTCACGGACTTAACAGCGCATTTTAGCCAGTATTATTTTACTTCAATATCAAATATAACAAGACTGCTCGTATCAAGTCGAAGCCCTGAATGTTCCGACTGCCTTTTAAGATTTATGGAGCAAAAATAACTTGAAAAAATTAATTTAAACAAAATAAAATGAAATTTTTTTTAATTTAAATTTTTTTAATGAAAATCATATAAACACGTCATATAAAGTACAAAAGGATAGATTTCGTTCCTTGAAACGATAGCTTCTTCCAACCAATTTTGAACGAATTCTAAGACGGATTAAATCTCCGCTTACGCGTTAATAGCTCGAATTATATCGCGCGTTAATTGTTCCAAATTGGTCAAAATGGCCAAAATGGCAACATTTAAACCCTCATAACTTTACGAAAAATGATCACAGGTGAAATATCTTTTCCAATTTAAGCTCAGGACAACAATACCTTTTGAATGATATTTAAAAAATCCGTCAAAAATGGCTAGTTAAAAAAACGAAATTTGTCTGAAGAAAAAAAAACCCACCCCGAGGACAAATATTCCGTTACTTTCGTATCGAAAGTCGGAACAATAACTAAAACCAGATGGGATGACTTTGATTGTTGACTTTGGACCAGCTTCTCCCGGGTCGAGAGCCCGTCAAAAACCGCTCAAGATATGATAGGTCTGAGCGGTTTATCGAAAAAAAAACGCTCAAAAACCGCTCCAATCTTGCGCGGTTTTTGAGCGGTTTTTTTAGATAAACATTTCAAAAACCGCTCAAACCGCTCATTTTGATGCAAGATTTTGAGCGTAATTGTCTAAAAAAGAACGCTCAAACCGCTCAAATCTTGCTTCAAATTAGGTGAAAAATCTCGACTCGGGCTACGGTGTTGTGAAGTTGTGGTGGAGAGCAGAAAGTAACGGATCCAAACGTTGGATCTCAAGACGTTACCACAGACAACAGCCCCAGTGATAAGGAAGGTCCCGGAGGAGAGACTCAGACTGGACAAAGTTGAGGAGAATAGTAGCCGGCCAATTGCAATTGTCGCACAGAAAACGGACTGCAGAGATTGGTCGAAAAAAAACATTAGAAGGAACGTTCGAGGAGATGCATCAATAAGCGGAGATAGTGGAAATTCGAAGTCGTCAACAACAAATAAAGAGCCGGGGAACAAGGAAGCAATGTCCGGAAATTCAGAGTCGGAGTATGGCACGCGTTAAAAGAATAAAATGTTAAGAGGAAAATATTTGAGCAGGAAATTGAAAATAGATGAGCTTATTAGTTAAAAACCAAAAAAAGTGTCTATCAAAAAACACTCTTTTTAAAAAAAAAAAACTCTTTGTAAGGGTAAGTTATGCAATTTTATGTAATTAAAAAAGGTTAAGTGGTAGTGCTTTTTTGTGCGAATTAACACAGATTGAGTGTTAACGCTAAAGGTCATTGTCCTAATTGCTGTTGACTGGTACTAACGATAGCACAATTTTGACGATAACACCATGTTCAGTCGTCGCTATGATCGTATGTAAAACAGTTTGTTCTTAAAATTGAATTAAGATTGAAAGGCCAGGTCACTTTTTTGTTCCGACTTTCGAAACGAAAGTAACGGAATATTATTTCTTTGGGGTGGTTTTTTTTCTTTAGACAAATTTTGACTTTTAATTAGCCAATTTTGACAGATTTTTAAAAAATCATTCGAAAATTATTGTTGTTCAGAGCTTAAGCTTGAAAAGATATTTTACCTGTGATCCTTTTTCGCAAAGTTATGGGGGTTTAAAGATTGCCATTTTTGCCAATTTGGGACAATTAATGCGCGATTCCCATTTAAAAAAAAAATCATTTTGTTTTAATACTTTTAATTTGTTTCATGTTACTACTGCTCAGTAGACCTTAAACGTCAGTCACGACGTTCAGGGCTTCGCCCTGATACAAGCAGCCTTGTTCAGTTTTGGGAATAAATAACCGATTCCATTAGATAAGGTAGTTTATTACACTCGTACCTTACGCTTATTTCATGGACTAAGGAATTGGGCAAACTTATCCGGCTGAAAAGCTGACGTGACAAACAGACAGTATTACTGTATTAAGACAGGAAATAGTCTGTGAATCCGCCCCTTTGGACTTAAATCAGTATATAAACGAGCAGAACTATAATTCAGCAATACAAATCAACTATCTAAAAATTATGTAATAGATGCGAAAATAACAGCTGGTTAATATACTCTGCTCATTTGTTCATACTTTGGCTAGTTTATTCACTACCGTTTCTCCATTATATGTTGGTTCACGAACCTTTGGTGATACACTCGTGCCTGTATCTGTCCTCGACAGTTGGCGAGTAAGAGTCGGAGTACTTGTTGTGCAGCATTCTCTTCACCAGACTCGTCTTGCCCACTTTGGGTGCTCCTAGAAACACCACACGGAACACCTCCGCCTCCAGTGCCGGTGCGTGCACACTGCCCCGTCTTGCATCCATTTTTCTCTACAAAACACACAAATTGGACCAATTCGAATTTTACTAAAAGTTCAACATTGATATATATAGGATAAAACAAGAGTACTCAGAAATGTCAGAAACCTGTTGCGCTATGTGTATAAGTCGAAAACATAGGTCCAATTTGTTTACGAATAAAACATAGTTCCAGGACACAAAAAGTTGAAAAGATAAAAGCACGGAAAAAATGTGTCTCTCTGTCAGATCTGAAACAAACCCTAAATAAAAGATTTCATATCAGCCATCTTTTGGTTTATTGATTTATGTTTTTTCTAATTATTAAAATCACTGAAGTTCAGTATATAACGGTGCATAATTTTTAAATTTGAGGTCAGTTCATCGGCCAATAATAAAACTTTTAAACTAAAAAAAAATCAATCAAATCATTTCCGACAGAAGTTATCTGCAGCAGACTTTTCAATGCTGAACTCCATAAACTTTTTTCGAAAAGTTAATTTGCACACCAAAACTGAGGGTCGTTGTCCGCATTGACAAAAATGAGTTGCGATTTCAAATCAAATTGGCTTCAAAAATGATCTATTATAGTGCCGTAGACTTTTTTGAAAAGTGATTTGATTGATTGGAAATAGTTTGTATTTAGTGCGGGCAACATTTTGTAGAAACTGAAATGAAATAATTTCAAATTACCGGGGACGGTATGAAGGTGTTTCAGCTCACACTTAATGGCCACTTGGTGAAAGACGAATTCAATCAGCAGAATTAGCTGGTCGTATAAATTAGCTATAAAATTTTGCAACTACTGCTTGGAAGCGGGAAATGGGTTCAAACTGCGAACAAAAAATCTATTAATGGCAACAAATTCCGCCCTAAACTACTCCTTTTAGAAAGGGTATTAAGAACAGGGTTTGCGGTCGTTTATAAGGTTAAAATACTTTAAACGTGTAAATGAATTGGAATGAAAATGATGTTTTTCCTCGGAGCAGAGAACCTTCAGTTAGATAGAAAGACTCAGCAGCAATTTAAACCACGCAATGCCAATTTAGCGAAAAGGTAAATTTAGTTTCACGTCAATGACTATGAAAGGAACTTGCGTTTTTCGAGTTTTTACTTCCTCTTTTTTTCCTTCGTTTTAATTGGTCCATGAGAAATAATCGCCTACATTATTTATGATAAGTACCTCACACAATGAACAGACCGGGTATTAAGGATAGAATCCTTGAGCACTTTTTTTCAAAAAATATACCGTAGCCGCCATAAAAAAGCAGGTTGTTTTTGTGTTTTATGGAGTTTTTGATTATACAAAATTGTCAAAGTAAAAGAAAAAATAAACTCATTGTTTCACCAGTAGGTGTAGTAATTGAAGGACGATATCAATAAATTTTAGACCAGTTTTGCAATTTTTTTGTCCAAGTTTTTCATACTAATTAATATGATCTCATTTTGGAAAAGATGACGGCGAAAAGATTCTTTACATTTTGGCGACAAAAAGCAGATCTATGAAAGATTTTCTGAAACTTAGCTTGGTCTGCTTTTATACTTGTCTGCTGAAACGGCACTTGTACTATAGATGAAGTAGAACTAAGTCGAAGTAGAAGAAAAAAAGACGCGAAAGTAAACAGAAAGCAGCAGAAGGTCTGAGAATACTGTCTGCCACAATTGAAATGAAATTGTTGGCTAAAAACAGCCAGAAAAATAGTCCTCGTTTGAAGAGACGGACTCGTTTTTTCTTAATCTACTACGATAAAAAATTACAAGTAATCTTTTTGTTCGATTTGAGTAGTGTATAGACAAAATGGCGTGATGCTTGCTCAAAATTATGTTGGCAGTAGAATTAAAATTGACAATAAACTATGATCTTGGTGGATAAATTGATAAATTGAACCTTTCCTGCATTATTGTCACTTTATCGGGGAACCTAATTTATGGTGCAGAAACCGCCCAGAATTGAATAGAGGGGATGGAAGTAGCAGGCCTTTGTTCAGTGCGTTTTAGCCTAGCGAAAAGTCTTTTTTTTTCATGAGCAAAGAACATCGCCTGGAGCGTATAAATACCCTTTTTGCGATGCTTCATTTTCTATTTTACCGTTAGAAGAAGCATAGCTAGATCTCGTTTCTAATAATGTGGTAAAAAAGTGAAAAAGACGAAGATTTGCTTCCTGTAAATTGATTGGGAAGTTATAATAAGTCTCGTCCCAGTACCCGCCCTCAGAGGAAAAAATCAATTTGGGCTTGTGGGCCTTCTTAGTTATTAGCAAAACGGGTAGCTAAGGGGTATAGGTTAATTTTGAGATTGATTATAGCCTTAGAGGGGTAAAACCCGGCCTGATGATGATTGAAGAGTGATCTAGAGGTAATAATCATTATCACATTTGAGCGAACAAAGAGCTTAGCTATATGTCAAAGTGAATACAAAAAGAAAAGGCTTACTTGAGTTCTCATTTCTATCGCATCACTTCACACGAAGTATTATACATTTTCATGCGTCAAAGACCACGAGACAAAAACAGAATTCTACATGAACTTAAAAAAATAAAAAAACAGGATAGATGCCGTTGCTTTTAAAATATCGCACATAGTTAATAAAAAGTCGAATAATTTATAAAAAGTCGAATAATTTTCAGTTTTTTTTTCACACTTCTAATTTTAAGATTCTGTTCTTCAAACGGTGTTTTTTTTTCAAAAAAAAGAAAGGGCAGTCAAATTCGGTATAGCAATGCCAAAATGGACAATTTATGCTCAATAAACTCAGAACTGCGCCGTGTAATTTGGTCTTCGTGCATTTTCCATGTAACTTAATCTGAAAAAAATTCGACCAGCTTTCGTCGACAGAGAAAACTTTCTGTTTTTTTTTGGAATCTGAATCACGACTAATTAGGCTTCCATATGATAGCTCATTTAACCCTTACAAGTTTTTCTGAGGTGGTCAAAATTGATGGGAAAAACACAAGTTAATCCATTTCCTTCTCATTCCCCATCCCTTCGGATGGGTCAGAACAACTACTTCAGGGGCGGATTTAGGGGGAAGGGAACGCGCAGACGCTCCGTTGCACTTTCAGAAATTCGACCCACTTACCCACAAAAGGGTCCCCCTTTGGTATTGTGTTTTCTGACATCCAGTTTTGTCTGCCAAACTTTTTACCATTTTTCTAAAGGCGCCTTTGGCGCCAACATATGCGCCAAAAAAAACGATTTTTTTTGGGTCATAATTTTTCAAAAAAAATGCCGAAACACAGCATTTTTGACCGGTTCTTTCAAAAATTTTCCTGCGGTGGAAAAAATTTTGTCGAAAAAAGATTAAGGGTCTTTATAGAGTTCTGGGAGCGCTCGGAAAATCAATTTGGTCAATCTAAAAAAAAGAACCCAAAAGTTTTTTGAAAACGTATTAAAAATCCACCCCCTCGAGAAAATCTTAGATCTGTCTCTGAACTACTTGATGCCCTCGAAAAATATATATATTTTTTAACTTAGCATCTTTCATTATGAGATTCTTTCTGTCCATGTTGATTTTTCAAGTCTTAAAGAATTATAAAGTTACTCTGAGTGGGATTTAATATTTAAAGTGTCTTTTTTCGTGGGCTTGGACTAGCAATAAACCGCAAAAGTATAGAGGTTGGGCAAAATGTCAAACTAAAAGGTTAACCTTTCTAACTAATTGGAAGCTGTAGAAAGCTTTCGACTTTCGTAGGCATGAAAACCTCAAAACCTCCAAAGCCTTTCCATAGAAAATATATACCTCTAAGAAACCTTCTATATCATAAAAATTGTAAAATCTAAAGGTTGGTAAATTCGATCAACATAGAGTCAGCTAATAAAAGAGTAAAGCAGCAAATTCTTATTATAAAATCTATAGATATATGTGTTTCAAAGTGCACTTTCTTTTTTATCCGTCCAAACAATTGTTTAGTTTTTCTGTGCTGTTGGTCTAAAAGTGGAAGCGCATGCATTCAAGGAAGGAAGCGAAAAAAGTAAGACTTCATCGATTGAAACTGTTTATCTCCTCAGTTAGATGGTAAAATTGCATTGGTGCCTTGAAAAATCGATTCCTTAAATTCCAGAATGTAATGATGCACTTAAGTGAACTTTTCTAGACTGTTTACTGTTAATCCTCATCGAGCATCGTTTGTTTTTCAACGAACTCGTAGCAATTTTTGATAAAGTAACAAACTAGAGTTGACTGTACAATTTTAGCAAGATAATCATTAATAGAAACACTGTTTATGAACTATTTAGGTGGGTCAAAATCGTTAAATCTTAATTTCCTAGGCCAGTAAGAAGGCCAAAAAATCGACAACAACGAGTGGCAACATTTTAAAATCACTGTCAAAACAACAAAACGTGTCATACAAGCTGTTTTGAGCTTTTATTGAAACTTTCTGCCAAAAACATGACTTGGCACTCCCTGTAGTCTTGTACGCCCGTTCTATCAGCATCAGAAACAAACTTTGAATTGGAACGAAATGGTTTGCTTAAAACTTATCAAAGAACAAAGCGGGGGGCTAGCGGGGAATTGACTTTAGTGTATATTGGCGGCAAAGAAGCGACTAGAAACGTTAAAGGGTTGGTTGGTCAAATAGTACCAAAAAAATTAGTGTATTCTTTGCAGCGCGTTATCTTTTTTCAATTAACTATAGCGCGAAGACAGTTTAGCATGGTTTTCGTATATGCTGATGTAATGAAAAAACAAGCTCAATAGTTCAGTAATTCATGCACAATTTGAGTAACTTATCAAGACTGGAAAATCAAAATGAAGGCACAGTTGAAACAAAAAAATCAAAATAGACGTTTTCAATTTTTCTTCCAAATTTGGTATCAAAATTTATGTCATCAGATTTTAATCATTTTTTTCAACAAAATTCAGGCTCTCAATCTGATATTAATTTTTCTTGATAAACCTATTTTTGCGCTAAAAAACTATCATAATTTCAATCATGTCGAAATCAAAGCCGACAAAACCTAAATTGCCAAAATGTTCGAAAGCTTACCCGCACTGACAAAAATGGATTGGGATCGATTTTAGTATGAAAAAAGTACGTTGATTAAATTCAGATCGATTTTAGTATGAAAAAAGTATGTTGATTAATTTTAGATCGATTTTAGTATGAAAAAAGTACGAAGATAAAACAAAAAAGATGAAGATTGGTTTGGATCGATTTAAAATCGATTTAAATTGATCTTAAATCCCAGCTAAAAAAAATTGATCCGAATCGATTTTAAATCAATTTAAATGCATTTTTTCCAGTCTGATTTTGTTTTTAATTTGAAGGGGATTAAAACGGATTTAAATCGATTTAAATCGATTTTTTTTTATTTGATCAGTTTCGAAATTTGATTGCATTTATTCATTGCCTATCATTTTTCATTTTACATCCATAGCGTATTGTAGCATAAAAAGACCAAATAAAAAGACCACAATATCGATAAAATTCTTTGATTTTCTTGCATATTTTGAGTTCAAAAACTCTCTATATTGACCCTTCTCTTGATTCGTTTTATAAGTTTTGCCCAAAATTTGATTCATTATCATATCTTTCTATGATATAATTGCATATTAACAAGATCAAAATTTAATTTCTTCTGACCTTTTTCTTGCTTGTTACATAGGATTTTGCAAGATCTGTTTTACAACAATTTTCTATAATTTCATTGCCTTTTTTCGTGCTTGAAACTGATTTATGTGGATAATTTCATTAAATTCTATAACATCTGGCACTAGTGTTTACATTTAAAAATCGAGAATAAAAATTTCCAACAATTTTTCAAAGGGTATGTTTTTTTCGCCTTGTTAGCAAAAAAAAAATATTTTAAACCGATTTTTTACACACTTAAATAGATTTAAAATTTTCAAAAAGATCGATTTAAAATGGATTTAAGTGAGATTTTGATGGTTTTAAGTGAGATTCGGGTGGATTTTAGTGAGTCGGAAAATCTATCGAAATCGGTTTGAATCGCTTTTTTAGACACTTAAATCGATTTAAAATTTTCAAAAAGATCGATTTAAATTGATTTAAAATCCATTTAAGTTCGTAAAATGTCCATGGTTAATCAATTTGGATCGCTTTTAAATCGATTTAAAATCAATTTAAATCGACCGGAAACCATTTCTGTCAGTGCGGGAAAGTCTTCAGCAATGAAAAAATATAGTTTTGCAAAATGAATACAGATTAATTTGAAGATGCGTACAATGTAAGTGATAATATATTTTTCCATTATTTGCCCGTCATTGAGACTCATCAAAACAAAACTGCTCGTATCGGGGTGAGGCCCTAAATGTTCCGACTGCCTTTTAAAATCTATGGAGCAGTAATAACATAGAAAATTTAATGTAATGAAATAAAAGGAAATTGTTAAAAATAAAATTTGAGATTTTTTTTTGTGAAAATCATCATCCCACACAACATATGAAGTACAAAATGATGTAGTGTTACTTCCCTTGTTACAAATAAGTCATGGTAAAAAAGCTTCTTTCGACCGATTTGAAACTGTTTCTAAGACTGTTTAATTCTCCGCTAACGCGTTAAAAGCGCGAAATTTATCGCGCCTTAATTGTCCCAAATTGGCCAAAATGGTAATTTTTAACCCCCATAACTTTAAAAAAAAATTTCAGATAAAATATCTCTACAATATTAAGCTCAGGGCAACAATACCTTTTGATTGATAAAAAAATCCGTCAAAAATGGCTGGTTAAAAGTCTAAAAAACCGAAATTTGTCTAAAAAAACCACACAGAGCACAAATATTCCAATACTTTCATTATGAAAGTCAAAACAAAACTGCTCGTATCAGGGCAAAGCCTTGAATGTTCCGACTGCCTTTTAAGGTCTATGGAGCAAAAAATAAATTGAAAAAAATTAAATGTATTAAAATAAAATGAAAAAAAATGAATTAAATTTTAGATTTTTTTTTTGAAAATCATCCCCCCACACGCCATGTAAAGTACGAAGTATTACATTTCGCTCCTAGTAAAATATCAATGATGGCAAACAAGCTTCGTTCAGTCATTTTAGAACAATTTCAAAGACAGATTAAATCTCCGCGTACGCATTATTAGCGCGAAATTGTCTCTATGGTACGGCACAGCGTACCGTGTTAAGCTGCCCGCATCCAGTTTCAAGCGTTAATAATCGATTATATCACGATTTTAGTACCAGTCTCACTAAAATTGAGAAACAATCGATTTTAATCAATTAATAATCGATTATAATCTCTTTTTTTTTCAAATCAAATTATAATTAATTATAATCCATTATAATCGATCATTTATTCGTCTATTTTTCGATACAATTATAATCGATTATAATTGATTATAATCCATTATTTTTATTCAAACTTCTATTTCGTTAGTTTTGCACAAAAATCCATTATAATCGATTATAATTGACTATAATC